AGTTGAAAAGCAATTTTCCCCATTTTCTTTCCCTTTTTTTTTTTTTTTTTAAACTTCAGCTGCAGAAATCACCTGATTGAAAACTGCAGAAGAATCCTCATCCCACACAGAAAAAGAACTGTTCAGAAAGCCCAGCCGACCTGCTAATTACAAGCTTTTTACCAGGGATTCTTGGTAAATGCTTAAATTGCAGATCAATCTTACTTTTGTTATGAAGTGTTTGAAAACACGCTAATGGGCTGGATTTCAGATCCTCAGCCTGGAGGTGACAGCCCTTTTCCTCAGTTGACAAGTAAAGCAAGTTAGAACCTTACAGATTGGAATCAGAATTGTAACTTTGCCTAGAAATGCCCTGGCTCAATCTACATTTCTTTTATTATTCTAGCTAGTACCCTTTATGTAAAATGCAACTCCAGCTGGGATTTCCATTCACAGCTCTGGTTCTGAACCCTGATTGAACATTAGAAATATCTGGGGTCATGGCATCAGTGCCTTGGGTCCTTCCCAGAGACCCGGGGCATGGAGAACGGGACCAGACCGCCCTCCCTCAACCAGGCACACCGTGCCAGCACCTCGGGGCCCACTCAGGGACCTGGGGCATGGAGAAGGGGACTGGACCCCTCTCCCACAACCAGGCACACCAAGCCAGCTCCTTGGGTCTTGCCTGGTGACCCAAGGTGTGGAGAAGGGGACCGGCCACCCCTCCCACAACCAGGCACATGGCACTAGCGCCTTGGGGCCTGCCCAGGGACCAGAGGCATGGAGAAGGGGACCAGACACAATCCACAACCAGGCATACCACTAGTGCCAAGGAGCATGCCAAAAACAGCACCTCCACATGGGTGGCCCACCACAGCCACCACAATAGCCATGGCTGCTGCAAAAGTGGCTAGACGCCACAACCACCACGCAGATGGTCTGCCAGCCACTGGAGTGCATTCACACAAGAAGAGTCACCAGCAGAGACAAAGAAAAGAAGAGGGTGTCTCTTTCCACAAAACCCATTTCAGAGTGACAGAAGCAGCATCTGATCTATGATAATATTGGGGGACCTGATCACATCTCTCAGCATTGGACAGATCATGTAGGCAGCAAATTAACAGAGTAACCATTATTCTTTCAGAAGGAGAGAAGAAATCTAGGGCAATTAAAGGGGGAGGGGGAGAAGATGGGGGAGGGGGAGAGGATGGGGGAGGGGGAGAGGATGGGGGAGGGGGAGAGATTGGACAAGGGGCATAAAGAATAATTATGATTCGTAACAACATATATGCTAATAATATTGATTTCATCAACATATCTCAATGTTCAACCCCCAAAATATGTATAATCGATTTTGATTCAATAAATAAAATAAATTTAAAAATAAATAAATAAATAAAAAGAAACATCTGGGGGGCTTTAAAAATATAGCTATACATCAATGCCCAGGTGCCAGCTTAGTCCAGTTGAATTTGAGTCTGTTCAACCCCCAAAATATGTATAATCGATTTTGATTCAATAAATAAAATAAATTTAAAAATAAATAAATAAATAAAAAGAAACATCTGGGGGGCTTTAAAAATATAGCTATACATCAATGCCCAGGTGCCAGCTTAGTCCAGTTGAATTTGAGTCTGTTCAACCCCCAAAATATGTATAATCGATTTTGATTCAATAAATAAAATAAATTTAAAAATAAATAAATAAATAAAAAGAAATATCTGGGGTGCTTTAAAAATATAGCTATACATCAATGCCCAGGTGCCAGCTTAGTCCAGTTGAATTTGTGTCTCTGGGGATGGGGTGTGGCCATTGATGGCATTTTGAAGCTCCTAGCTGATTCTAAAGTGTAGCCCAGGTTGAGAATCCCTGACTTAAGGGGGCAGGGAGGCATACAATGCTTCCTTCTCCAGAAAGAACATTTCAATGGGTTTTTAACCTGAGAAACATGAACCCCTGAGCCAGGAACTCAAATCCCAACACTTAGATGAGAGAAGCAGGTCTTTTGTGAATGGAGAGTAGGGGCCTTGTCTGGTGGAGCAGCTGACAATTGCCACCTGACATGCTGTGGGTTGAAAAAGAGATGTATTGAGGGAGTAGGGTGTGACTGTCCCTCCAGTTTGAGGCTTTTGCTTAATGGGGTGACCATAAAGGACTCAAGGGGTTCAAAAAATGTCTGCAACCATATGCAAAGTTTTTTGTGCTTCTGTTTCTTTTTCTGGGGAGGAGCTCCAGAATCATGTTCTCTGAAGCTCTGTTATACGCCACTCTCCTGGCATGAATAACCTCTTTATCATAGCACACCAGGCGACAGTCTATAGCACAGTTATTAAGAATAAAGAGTTACATCATTTGTACTTGTATGGATGTGGAGGGACTGAACACATTGATTGCTAATTAAAAGCAAGTTTCAGAGTGACATCTGTGTAATGGTCCCAGTATCCTCCATGAGAGCAGGGACTGTGTCTGTTTCATTCGCTGTTCTATTCCCAGCACTTGAAAACAGTGTCTGGTACAGAGAAGGTGTTTAATCCACACTTGCTGAATTTATGAGTAACTTTTTAAAAGAACTGAATCCTCTATACGTGGATAATGTTTGTGCGAATGAGGAAAACAAGTGTGCAATGATACACACCAGGATGTTAAAAATGGTGACTTCACAGAGAAAGAACTAGAAGGGGATGAGGAGGACAGTGAACTTTCCTTTTAATAACAGTTAAGTTATAGAGTGCTCACTATGTGATAGGCACAGAGCTCAGCATTGCATGTGTGTTGATCTCATTTAATCCACATAACAATCCTTTGAGGTACCCTCGTATCGTTATCCCATTGTACAGATGAGAAAACCTAAGCACACAGATCTTGCCCAAGGCCACCAAGGCAGGTGAGTGGCAAAGCCAGGACCCAGGCAAGGGCTCCCCGGCCCTGCACTTCACTCCTAAGCTCCTCTGATCCTCTGCCCTTACACATCTTTCCCTGCATCACTCATAAAAAACGTGCTACTTTTGTAATAAAATTTTAAGTAAAATATAAAAGTGTCAGGGCTTTCCACGTGGGATCTCAATGCCCTCTGGGGTCCCCTCCTCATCTAAGCATACAACAGGAAGTCCTTTATTCTCAGTAGGGACTTAGGAAAAGATATTTCATGCTTTGATCTGTATCTTGGTTGAACATATTTCCCGCTGCCTGCCCGCTCACCGTTGAAGGATTCAACAGAGTCACTGTCTTCTGTCCTGGTCTGAAACCTTGGAGAGGGTGGGGCCCTCGTCTGTTTGTGACTCCATCTGGACAGCAACATCACAGGCTGCATTAGATAGCATCATTATATCTGCACAGGGCAGGCGTTCCCTGAATGGATGCAGACTGTCTGGGTGACAGGCTCTGAGGAAGCCCAGAACCAACCTGCCTTGGAGGGGTCTCAGAGGATGGACATTTGCAATCTTGGTGATGAAAAGAAACAAGCTGGTGTAGAGTAAGCCTTGCATGAAAGGAGTTTTTAGCCATGGCTTGATCTCTTGGAAGACTACAGCCAAGGAGTCTAGACTATATCTAAACAGAGGAGAGTTCCCAGTTGCCCTGAAGCAAAACTCCTCAAAGGCTGATGTCGAATCACCAATGCCAGCACTAGCTGGGTGCTTCAGGAAATGCAGAAACCTTGAATTGTGGAGCTAGCGAGACCAAAGCTGGAATCCTTATTCTCCTAACTTGAGAATTTGAGTGAATTGCCTAGGTTTGAGGCTTCAGTCCCTAGAGTTGCAAGTAAAGGATAATGATATTGGCTTGGCAGGGTAGGTCATGATAAATATTGGCAATGACAGAGAGAAGCACCTACCGTGTTAGGACATAAAAAATAATAATGAGTACTCCCACTAACTCTAACTGTGCTGTGTTGGGCAGCTTCTAAGAGAGCTCCTGGTGATTCCACCTCCCACTCTTCATGTTCTGTGTAATCCTCTCCTCTTGAGTGTGGGCTGGACTTAGTGATCTGCTTCTAATGAATAGAACATGGCAAAAGTGATAGGATATCATTTCCAAGATTACATTACAAAATGACTTTCTTGCTCTCTCTTGCTCCCTCACTTGACTGCTCTGATGGAAGCCCTCTGCCATGATGTGAGTTGCCTATGGAGAAGCCCATGTGGCAAGGAACCAAGAAAGGTCACTGGCCAACAACCAGAAAGAACTGAGGCCCCCATCCAACAGCCTGCGGGGAACTAAATCCTGCTGACAACTATGTGAGTGAGCTTGAAAACAGATCTTCCCTCGTTGAGCCTTCAGAGGAGATAGCAGCTCCTGACAATGCCTTGATTGCAACCTTGTTAAAGATATTCAGCCAGAACCACACAGCAAACCTATGCCTGGATTCCTGACCCACAGGAACTATGAGATAGTAAATGTTTGTTGTTTTAAGTTACTACAGCTTGGGGTGGAAACAGAGCGTATGTTTTATGCTCTGAAAAAAACATACTAAATTCTACCAGACAGTGGCTCATGAAGCCTCTGCTTAAATACTATATACTCTGGGAAGCCTTTCACAATCCCCCTCTCTGAGTTAGGTGACCTTTTTTTCTCATATGCTTCTCTATTAGACTGAAAGCAACTTGAATCATCATTAGCATCAAAGCTAACATACAGTGAGTACTTACGCTATACCAGCTACTATTCCAAAGTCATAAGTCATTTACTCTTCACAACAAACCTATGACACAAGTACTATTATTGTCCACATTTTATAGATGAGGAAACTGAGGCTCAGAGGTGTTAAGTAATTTTCCATAGGCCTCATTATTATGTGGCAGTGCCAGGAAATCTGGCTTCAGAGTCCACATTTATAACAATTATGTTATATGACTCTATGAATCTTGCTAAAGTTCACAGATGGTAAGTGGATTCAAACCCAGGTAGTTGAACACCAGACATGAAGTTCTTAGACATAACTCTCTCTAGACGCCTTCTGTCTCTTGAACAATAGGTTGAACATGCCTCACCCGGGGCTCATTAGGGTCTGGAATGTTACCTACCTGTAAATACTAGGCTGGCATTTTCTAGTTCTTCTTGGGGAACTTTGAAGCTGAAGGACTCATTGTAGAAAGGATCTATTGTGCCTCTTAAAAAGGATGTCTTCTTGGTTTTCACAAGCTTGAGCCCATGCACGAGCTGTATTTTCACAAAGGGGTCTGAAAATTGGACACAGCATCACAGAATGTTAGAGATCATGAAATCTAATATGTCTAGCCATTCATCCATTCGACTTCCCAACCATCCATCCTTTTACTCATCCATTCTTCTATCCGTTCAACATCTCATCCACCTGTCAGCCCATCCATCGGTCTATGCATCCATCTATCTATCCATCCATCCTCCCATCTATTTGTCAGTTCACTAACTCACTCATCATTTCACCATTCTTTTATCTATCCATTCTTCTATCCAAGTTCCCATCTATCTGACAGACCAACCATCCATCTATCCTTTCATCTCTCTATTTTTTCCATCAGTTCATCCAGTGATCCATTAATCTGTCCATCCCTAAGTCCAGGCATCCACCCCCCCTTTCATTCATTCATTCTCCCAATCCATCTACCTATTATCCATCCATCATTTGTCCATTCATCTGCTTATCTGCTCTTCCCTTTCTCTCTTCCTCCAGCCATCTAATATTTATTGAACTCCTTCCATGCATCAGGCATTGTGTTCATTTTATTTTATTTTTTCCTTTTTGTCTTTTTTACTGACCGGTAACGGGATCGCAACCCTCGGTGTTGCGCCCGCACCGCACTCAGCCAGTGAGCGGGAACCGGTCTCCACATGGGATCCGAACCCTCAGCGGGAGCGCGGCCGCGCTCCCAAGCAGCGCACTCTCCAGTGTGCCACCGGGCCAGCCCCATTGTGTTCATTTTATAGTTGAGAAAACTGAGGACTCAAGATGAGAAATGATTTGCTTAAGATCTGGCTGATGGAGGCAGAAACATATTCAGAGCCTGTCTTGCTTTCTGTCCATAGAAACCCATTAATCATGTTAGTGAGCCCATATACAGGAGAATAGAGATGAAAGAATTAAAACTACCATCCTTATGTCATTTTACAGTTTACAAAGGGACTCATATAAATTATCTAATATTTGTTTAAACAACCCAGTGAGATGAATACTGCCATTATGTCAATTTTTAAGGTGGAGAAATTGAGAAGTATGGAGATTAAGTAACTTCCCAAGTCTGCATCACTTGCAAGCAGTTAAAACTGAAATTTGGTTCCAGGCAGTTTGACTCCAGAATCCTTAATCATTTTTCCATATTGACTTTCCCATTATGGTGAGTCTGAAGCTCTCCCGTCCTAATACCATTTCCTTCACTGGCCCCTTCTAAACTTCTGTTTGTGGTTTTTGAGAATGCAAGGTGTCTTCTAGATGCAGCTATCACCTTATAGCAAAAGTAATTTATTTTAGCTATTGCCTTTAGAGAAGACAGCATTTTCACCACTAAGCTGAAGAGATCCCAGTGACCATGGCTGCTTTCACAGTAATATCCTTTGCTGTCATGGGAGAAGCTACATACAGATGGAACAGAATTTGTTCCATTTCATTAAGTCATATTTGATTGGTTTTGCTATAAAGTAGACACTTTAAACGCACCAGTACTTTCAGAGCTGGGATTTATAGGTTTATGGTACATGTTAAACGAGCTGGGAAAAAGCCTCAGGATGTGTCCACCACTCTCTGATTAGAATGCATAGTCAGTGCACACTATCGCCACCTAGAACAGGGTGTCTCTATTGCAGGCATAGCATTTGGAAAGGCAAGTAACTTCTTTGGGGGCTGCATGTGTTCAAAGAGGATCTAGATTTTCTGTAGCTATCACACCTACTCTCAGTCAATTCCTCAATTCAAGCAGGTTATGAGATGGCATCGTTTATCTGCCTCATTCTAAAGGATAGCTGATAATTTATTTTCCTTCTTAAACTAGCATTTTAGGTCTGGGTGCTACATATCCTCACAAGTTCTTATCATTAGAAGTCAGGATGCAAGAAAAAAAATTAGGTCTCCCAAACAAACATAGGTGCCCCATTAAAGAAGTGGGGGAAAAGAGAGGTTCACACTGCACCTGAACCTTGGCTCACATCTGTCTGAAGAAGTTGCTTGGCTCGAATGACATCAACATTTAGTCTCCCAGCACTTGGGAGATAATTCAGTGACAGAAGCAGCTCCCCCAACTCCACTTCATTCTGTGGAGAAAAGAAATGGTCAAAAAGTTGCTCTTTTCTTTTATTCCTTTTGCACCCACTATGTGGGAAATTGATTCTGGCAGCTCACATTCAGGTTGCTGTGGTGAATCAATTGACAGTGGTTACCACTTTCTTTAACTTCTTTTAGCCTCTGCCTCCAATTGTTTTTTCCATCTGTCTCAGAAATTTTTTTCTGCTCTTAGAATGCTTAACATCAACAACAATAACAAAAGCATCAATAATAATAAAAAATAAATGTTACACAGTACCACGTACTATGCTAAGTGCTTTACATGTAATAACTAATTTAATAATCATAATGAGTCTGTGAAGTGTTAGTATTAACCCCAGTTAACAGATGAAGGAACTGAGGTTGAATAAAACATCAAAGACCACACAGCTAGAAAGTGGTAGAGCTGTCACTTGGAACCAGGGAGGCTGATTCCAGGTACTCTGACCACTGTATTATTCTGCCTCCCAACAGGATACCTGGGAGGTGGAATACCCGGCAGAGTAACTATCTGGGTGAGAAATCTGTTCTTAACCTGTCGCCCACAACAGAGCCCATGCTTCTAGCCTCACCATGTCACACTTGACACTGTGACACCTGGTTGAAGAGCATTTATTCCCTCAATGTCAATTCCACCACTCTTGTGAAAAATTCATATGAACACCCAAGTTCATGACTCCATACTGCCAAAAGTGCCTAGAAAAGAGGAGGCCCTCCACTTTTCTGTTCTTTTTTAAAAAAATTTATTGTAGAAAATTTCAACTATATACAAATTAATAGACTAGCATAACGAATCTCCTTATATCCATCACTCAAATGTATAAGTTATCAACATTTTGCCAAATGATGTTTCATCTAGAACCCTACTCATGAAAACTTTTAGCTGAATATTTTAAACTAAGTCCCAGACACGATGTCATTTTACCTGTATATCCTTCGGTTCATCTCTAATAATGATAGGGATATTAAAATAAACATTTTTGCTATGGGAAATTTCCAGTTATAGTCAGAAAAAGGTGGAAGAGTATTAAGGATTTACCTGTATATCCTTCGGTTCATCTCTAATAATGATAGGGATATTAAAATAAACATTTTTAGTATGGGAAATTTCCAGTTATAGTCAGAAAAAGTGGAAGAGTATTAAGGAACCTCCACATGCCCACCGCCACTCAGCTTCAAAAATTATCATGTCATGGTCAATTTCAATTCCCCTTTACCCTCATTCAACTACCTGCATTATTCTGAAGGAACTCCCAGACATCATAGTACTTTATCTGTAGTATTTCAATGTGCGTCTCTGAAAAATAAGAGATCTCTCCCTCTCTCTCTCTCTCTCCCTCCCACCTTTTGGTGTCACAATTCCCCTTTACCCTCATTCAACTACCTGCATTATTCTGAAGGAACTCCCAGACATCATATTACTTTATCTGTAGTATTTCAATGTGCGTCTCTGAAAAATAAGAGATCTCTCTCTCTCTCTCTCTCCCTCCCACCTTTTGGTGTCGTTCATTTTAGCAAATTAATGCCAAGTGGCAGCTCTAGAACAATGCTTAGCACATAGTAGATACTCAATATGATGAATAATCAAACCAAAAGGTTTCTGTACCAAGTGAGTTAGTCCCCCAACAAACAAGAAACAACCTCACATGTTAACTCAGAGGTAGCAAACTACCAGCCTCCAGATGTGTTTTGTTTGGTTCACATCATGTTTGAACAGATAATTGCTTGCTAATTATTATATAATTCAAGAATCAAGATATCTCACATTTTTTAAAAAATCTGGATTTCTTGCCTTGCTTGAAAAACAAGAGGGTCAGGCAATGCTGGGCCCACGTTCTCTCCTGGCAACTGACAAAGATTCTTTGCTTGACTGAACTTTTATCAGGCTCCTGAACCTTCTCTAGGCCCATCTGTGTGCTTCCTTGCAAAATCCAGTTTTAGCAAAGAACCCTGCTAAGTCAGTTTAGCAAGAACCCCGCCACCCTCAGTGTCTGATCACCCTTGATATCTGATCTGGTTCCTCATCCTCCACCATCTCCCCAGGTGATGTCTGATCACCCTGGCTTGTCTTCAGCAAGAATCCTGTTAGGTTGATTTAGACAGAATCTCCCTTATCCCTGATGCTTCCTCTTAGGACAGTAGTCCCCCTTATCCACGGTTTCACTTTCCACCCTTCTGTGGTCAACAAGAAGAAGGGTGAGTACCGTACTATAAGATATTTTGAAAGAGAGAGAGATCACATTCACATAACTTTTATTACAGTGTGTTGCAATCATTGTCCTATTTTATTATTAGTCACAGCTTTTAATTTCTTAATGTGCCTAATTTATAACTTAAACATTATCATAGGTATGTATGTACAGGAATAAAACATAGTAAAGTTTGGTACTATCCGTGGTTTCAGACATCCAAAGGGGGTCTTGGAACATATCGCCTGCAGATAAGCAGGGGACTAATGTAATTCTCCATCCACTGATCCCCACCCTGCTCGTGGGCTATAAATTCCCATGTGTCCATGCTGTATTTGGAGTTGAGCCCAATCTCTCTGCCCCACTGCAAAATCCCATTGCAGTGGGATTTTTCTACCTATTGCAATGGTCCTGAATAAGTCTGCTTTACCGTGCTTGAACTAGTGTCACTGAATAATTTTTTCCTTCACACAACATCTGGCCACAGTGGGACCAGATCTGCCTCCTTTGCATCACTATGCCCTGCCTGTCCTTCACCCCTTTACATCCCTGCTGCTCTGCCCTGGGCATATGAGTTTGCAGATATTCAAGACAGAAATGGTCAACTTAGTGAGCTGAGTAATAAAGGAAGTTCAGAGTCCCTTACACAGTTGCTGGGGGGTTCCTGCTGGTTTGCAAGGGCCTGGAAGATGCATGCCCTTAGGACATAACCCTGCAGCCACATTTATCCTCAGGCAAGTAATGCTGAGAATTCTGCAAAAGCCCTAGCCAGGGAGACACCATTCACATCCTCCTGGACTTTGCTCCTCCCAGGCTTAAACATCAGAGTGACACCTGTCTCCCTTTAAATCAACCAGCTTCTGGCTGCAGACGGTAGCTAGGTCTGCTCCTCTCATTCAAGCCCCTTCTTGCTGTAGCAAAGTAAGCCCCACCTTCTGCCTTTAAGCCTTCCACATTGCCCCTAGTAGCCCACTGGGCAGGAGGGCTTTCTCTGGAAGAGCTAGTTCAAGGCAGTTTGGGTATTGGAATCAGGTACCAATGAAGAATCATGACTTATTTTGCTCCCTAGTAAACTACTGTTTTGAGTTTTCTTCCCTTTGTATTACTTGTATTATTTTTGAAAACACACACGGAAAATCACAAATGTTAGCCAGGATGTGGAGAACTGTAACCCTTGTACACTGCTGGTGGGAGTCTAAAATGGTAAACAGGTGGGTGGTTTCTCAAAAGGTTAAACAAAGAGTTACCATAGGATCCAGCAATTCCACTCTTCAGGACATACCTAAGAGAATAGAAAACATGTGTCCACAGAAAAACTTGTACAGGAATGTTCACTGCAGCACTACTCACGATAGCTCGAAGGTGGAAACAGCCCAAATGTCCATCAACAGCTGGACATCCATACAATGAAATGTTACTCAGTCATAGAAAGGAAAGAAGCACTGATATATGCTACAATGTAGATGAACCTTGAAAACGGGCTAAGAGAAAGAAACCAGATGCGAAAGAGTATGTATTTTATGTTACCATTTGTGAGATATTCAGAATAGGTAAAACCTTAGAGATTGTAAGCAGACTAGTGGTTGCCGGGATCTGGGAGGAGAGGGAATGCAGAGAGACGACTTAATGAGACCAAGTCTCCTTTGGGTGATAGGAATGTTCTGGAATTCAAGGTGACGGCTTCACACTATTGAGAATGTACTAAATGCCACTGAATTATACATTTTTTTTTCCTTTTTGTCTTTTTTCGTGACCAGTAACAGGATCGCAACCCTCGGTGTCGCGCCCGCACTGCGCTCAATCAGTGAGTGGACCGGTCTCTATATGGGATCCACCGAGTGCGCCACCGGGCTGGCCCCTGAATTATACATTTTAAAATAGTTAAATTTCACTTCAATTAACCAGGCTCAACAGAGAGAAGTGCAATGCATTCTTGGGAGAGGTGTGTTTAGGGAAGCCTTCGTGGAAGAGGAAGCATTTGAGTTAAGCCTTGAAAGACAGTAGAATTTTGTCCAGCAAATACTGCAGGGCAGGGCGCCCCACACAGATGGAACAGGAGGGAAAATCTCACCGTAGCCACCTTACCCTGAAGTTCTCGATTTCATTATATAAAGTCCCAAGTAACTTGCTATTAATAATAAAGTAGTCAAAGATGGTTAATAATTTGGAGTTTTAAAATAAGTTAGTAAGAATTCTCCTCACAAATAACATCGCCCTCATTCATTTGCACTCCTGGTTTGTTGCTATTAAGTGGCAAAGACAACATTGGCTTCCTCCTTAGGCAGAATAGGTGTGTGCTCTGGGCCCCCCAGCAGCAGGTGACGTCCCCACCTCCACTTCAAATAAAAGAGAGAAATGTATTTTTTGGAAAGAATTTTTTTTTTTTTTTTGGCAGCTGGCCAGTACAGGAATCCGAACCCGTGACCTTGGTGTTACAAGGCTGTGCTCCAACCAACTGAGCTAACTGGCCAGCCCTTGGCAAGAATTTGATAAAATTTAGAAGCAACACTGGAGTAATCATTGAGAAATGAGACATTGCTGAGAAGTAGTAAGAACTATTATTACCTTGAATGACATATGGTAAGGGGATCCATAATTTTCAGGGTGTGGGGTCTCAAGGTCTTATCTTAACCCAGCCCTAGAAAGTGGAAAATCTCCACTCTACTCAAGGCCTCTGCCCCAGGATGTGTGGCACGCAGGAACAGCATCAGTCACTCAGACATCGAAACTGCAGCTCTAACAATCTGAGGGCAAAAATATTCCTGGGGAGTCCCTGCAGCCCGAATCTTCTTAGTCCCTCT